TTTCCAAATTGACCTTCGCCAGAGCTTATATTTTATCCACTGCCCTAATTTATATTCCAAATGTCCAATTTATCTGTATATGATACAGAAATACATAGAAGTGTCTTTCTAAACAAGAAAATTCAACAAAACCTTAAAATTTGTATTTTTAGCCGTTGACAAAAAATTGAAGTACATTATCAGCGTAACTGCAAAATAACATCAATAAAATGCTAGATGAAAGCAACACATAAATGGAAAAAGATTTTTAAATAAGGGAAATTTAAAGGAAATTGACAAGGAAAGAATGACGACTTAATTAGACCTTTTCTCCTTTTTCTTTTAATATGAAAACTGAAAAATTCCTGAGGGCCAGCAGCACACGGTTCCAAACTTGTTGGATAATGGGCCTGCCACCCTACCCTTCTCCTTAATACCGGGATATTATTTGCGGCAAGATCTGAATTGTGAAGTGCGCTTGATTCACACATCACGCCTTGTGCTCTTACCGCCAGACAGGAGCCCAGGGGCTCCCGAATCTTCTCTTTAGAAAACTAAACAAATTTTTCTTTTAATCTAATACATATTTTGGACCTTCTCCCCACAGTAGGATGGTGTTTCAATTAATCAACCTACAACCATGAATCTTAAATTAGGTGTCATCTGCTATATGAATTCTCTGCATTGATTTTATTCTGAGATGGTGTTTATTTGTAAAGTAAGTTGACTAAAATGCTCCCCACTCCTTCCAAGCTTTGACCACCCTCACAACTCCATGCATTAGGGATTTTCTGTTTTGCCATCACAAAGACTGTTAACCAAATTCAAAGCTGAATTGGTAGAAGAAGGATTGTTTTTACCATCATTATATTGCCAAAAAGCTTGGCCTTGTCCACTCAAAGTTCTTCACCACTAAATATGAAACTATCAAACAGCCTGGTCATGTTTTCTTCATAAATTATTGATTACTTTTGTTGTCACCTTTTTACTAGAGATTTATGTTGGTGTTGCTTCCCTTTTAAGTTTGTGAAAAATCAATCCTAAAGTTCAAATGCTATATGTTTTGCAGTTGAGATATAGATTTGAGAAGTGGTAGCTTTCTATTGGTTTGATGTGGATATTAGACTACATCTACCACTGGATAAATTTTATTTGGCATAACCTGGCTCGAATGTTGCATCTCCCAATCTACCAATAAAGATATGTTTTTGTATATTTCCTGTCATGCCATGATTTTTCCTCTTATTTCAATTTCTTCTTAAGTGCTGTGACTTGTTGCCCCCTCCCCTGATCGCCTCTGCAGGTGGCGAGGGTGGGGGATATGGGGTTGGTCAAGAGGGTAATTGGTGAGTGTATTTTTTAGTCATGACAATGAAGAGAAAATCCATCTAAGCTACACTTGCGTATACCTAAAATGGCCTGCAGTATCTTCATTTCATATTACCCCCTGCGTAATAATTGGAAATGGTCAAGATCATGCTATGTTCTCTATTATGATATTTTCCTTGGCTGGAGTCATACAGTTTTATAATTTATGGAACATACTGCACTTTTACAGATACGGGAAATGACTTTTATGTTTGAGATGAACCGTAAGTATGTCAAGCAGTACATACATAGCATTAACCAGAATAAAGGAAGGCTTGATAAGTTTGAATGGTCCCCTGAAAGGAAACCATGACGAACACCTTTAAGGTACCGTTGTTATCCTTGTTCTATTTTGTAAATTAACCTTACGTTGAATGAATATCCTTGGTCGAGGATCAGTTTCTTCTGTTCACTAATGGATGTGTAAAGTGTTAATATCTCCTTATGTTCCTGTCTAAAGGTCATCTAACCTACCCAGATCCCCTTACCACCTTGTTTCTTTTTTTCATATCTATTCGTGTAGTTTTGCTGGGACTTTCAGTTTTCTCTTCCAGAGTTATTTTAGTAAACAGTTCTGGAGGAGAGGGATTAAGTCGCATTTCTGTTTCTTCAAGGTGTTTGTAAAAGTAAGATGTTTTTAACTATTAGATGTGTAAATGGAATTATCAAAATTTTACAGAAGAATTTATCCATGGTTATCTAGAGGAAGATGTGCATTTCATGTACAAATATTTTTTTTCCAGAGTAAACTACTCAAATGTAAATGTAGAGAGTAGCGTTCGCTGGATAAAAATGTCAAAAGTTATCGTATATAAATTTTAATAGTTTTTAGTCTTTTAATCTCGGATTGCCGAGGTTAAGTTATATATAAAGTTCGCATCCTAAATCATTTCTTTCCCCTTTCTGAAGGAAGATGTAGAGAGACGCAAAGATGCTTTTTCCGTTATTATTTGGTTTAATCTCTCTAATCTTTTGCTTATCTTTTTTTAACTTAGTAGAAAGTCGATGAATTCTTGTTTTCTGTGGGGGATCAAAATGCGGAACGCAGATTATTACCTTTGCAACCCATCATTACGCTTCTCAAACTATTAAAGTTTCTCAATCAGCAACTAGTGTGGTGGGTTTGTGCTAGAGAGTTATGCCTGGTTAAGGATAAGAAAAGTTTTTCCTCAATGATTACTATATGGAAAGCAGGGGTAGGCCAGAGTAGTCAAAAGCGGAAAAAAGTCATAATTTGGGGCGCAAAGTGTGATTAAAGTGTGGGCTTAAGCAAAGAAAAGAACTGAAAAACCTACACGAATATGTGGTGCAAGGAAATGTAACCATACAACTATTTGGATAACATAATTGAATATAACTATAGTAAGAGAAATATAAAAAGTATAAAGTCATGTCAATCAAGTTTGAGGATTTGACAAAAACATGTAATTGTATGTTTTTTGCAGGTAGTTTCCTTGTAATGAACCTAAGCACTAGATATTCATTCATAAGAGTATTTAGCAATTAATGCATCATTTTACTAGGTCTATTTATTGCCTAATACTGCTCCGTCAAAGACAGAGCACAGGTGATTGGGGATGCCTTCGCACTTAAGCATATACACTAAGGGGTCGTTTGGTATGCGGGGTAAGGTGAGAAAATGTGGTACTGAAGTTATACTATGTTTGGTTAAATTTATACCGTCAATCAAACATAGTTTAAATTTAGTCCCAAACTTAATCCTGGATAACCCATCTTATCCCATCAAACTTGGTCTCGGGATAATTTAGTTCGCGTACCAAACGACTCCTGAGGCCCCATATATGCTAGGGGAAACTTAGAATCTGGTTGAAGTTTTAACTGGGCTCTAGAGTTGAATCCACCCAAAAACGAGTCTTTCATAACCGTGGGTTGGCTAAGCAACGTTATATCACATTGCTGAAATTCTGAAGTTAGCAATGATGAGACGGACACTATATAAAAGCACGCGCGACTTGACAGTATGAGGGGCCAGATACCAACTTGGCGGCTTGTAATGGATTAAAACAGCGAACATCACAATGAGCAATTCTCCTACGATTGACAAAAATAGTCTTGAAGATAATTCAGTAATTCTTAAAATAGCGAATCATAAGGCATCTTTGCCAATTTGGTAGAGAAATGAGCCAGCTACTCTGATTTGGTAGAGAAATGAGCCAGCTACTCTGATTTGGTAGAGAGTAGCCTATTTTTTATTGTTCCACATCTTTGGTATGCGTTCTTTAATGACGCACTAAAATATTTGGGATTCTAACGTCTCCGTGGAGATGCCAATCCAGACCAATGAGGCTTCAGGGGATGGGGGTAAGAATTCTCACAGCACATCAATATTCTTCCACAGCGACCAACCAAATATTCGTTACACATTTCCAGTTGTAAGCGATCCTTGATATGCTCTTAAAACATAGTAAGTTCTCAATTAACATTGATGCATGTTATAAGCTTGTTTTTTTAAAGTTGGTTTAGTCAAGATGAAACATGGTCAAGAGGCTGTCCACCTTTAAAGTTTAAACGATAGGCCCCAGGTCTGGGTTTGACATCTCGTAGAAATCAAATGGTGGGTTTTGTCAGGTTTTACCAGTTAAAATAGCGTGAAACAACGAATGGGGTAATGATAATTCGTGGAAAATTACTTGGCCTAAAATTAATTCGATATAGGTTAGGTCACGGGTCATTACACTATTTTATTGGTCGGAATATAGTTTCCTAGGTAAGGTCTATCATTTGTCTCGTGCAGACTAATTTTTAAATCCAGGGGCGTAAGCTTTACAAACATTCAGCGTAAGTTTCTCGAAGAATTAACAATTGAATCAGGACAATTTCTCGAAGCAAAATTTGTCCAATATCCAGGAAAGTCAAACATAGAGAGCTAAAATAACTCATTTCTTTTTCGAAAATATAAAAGAGTACCCTTTAACAAGTAGCATCATCCATTTAAAGTGGCACCTTTAGTGAAACGCAAAGACAAATTACTCGTAGTAACTTTTTCGAAAGAATCAGAAAGTAGCTCTCTTTAACTGGTCGAAGCAAAGTGATTGCTACTCAATTAAAAGTAGGTGCCTCTCAATCAGCGCAAGCGCAATTGCTGCTGAGCTAAGTTATTCATGAATCCTTTATTTGCCTATTTTGTTTAGTCATTATGAGAGAATATTTGGTTAGTTACAAGATAAATATTGAAAGAACAGAACATCAATTAGCTGGAGAACATCGGAAATTAGTAAAATATGTTGTGAAAAAAGAAAACCACAGCCTGAAATGAACGTTGTTGACTGAGTAACAACCATAAATTGGGACCCTTGTCCCCGCTCTCTGCCTATATAACATTTAATGGCAGTGTCACAAGAGCTATCATTTTCCCTTACCTTCTGATCTTCAATACGCAAAATATGAAATTTTAAATGAGCAGTAGACACCACTGATATTTTGCCCGTGAGCCACTCTCACCAAAAGATATATGTGCTAAATTTAGCGTACTCCTTTGTCTCGAATTGTATGTCTTATTTTGTATTTAAATTGTTCCAAATCTTCTCTGCTTTTTTAAAATAATTTCTCAAAACATTTTTCATTATTTTTGTAATTAAATAGATATTTTTGAAGACATACTTCTTAATATATTTTATTAGTTTTATTTAATTTTACTTTAGTTTACTTTTTTTTTAATTTGTTTTATTTTTTTACATTTCACATTTTTTCTTCTTTCTTCGTACTAGTGAGGTTGAGATAGTAAAGAGAATAAAGACAAATTCCCCTTAAACTCCTCCTTGCCAAGTGTTCACTTCGGCCTTTCTCACCTTTTCTTCACCTTTCTTTGTTTGCTCCCTTCATTGGCCACACCCGAATATATGCTCGTGAACTCATTTCAAAACCAATCTTAAAGGTGCTTCTTCTTCAATTCTCACTGCCCAACAGGAAAAAAAACGAACAGAGAGGAAAGTTTGCAGAAATGGATCGTTCATTATTCTCTGTATTCTCATCTTCTTCTACAATCCTATTCCTTACAGTTCTCCATGTTCTGTTGTTGCATGCACATTCAACAACACACTGGCAAGACATTGAAGTCTTAAAGCAGCTCAAGAATAGCGTCGACCCCAATTCAATGACACCTGGCTCATGCCTAATATCTTGGGATTTCTCAGTAGATCCTTGTGACAATCTCTCCACTGAAAAATTCACCTGTGGTCTCCGTTGTGACATTGTAGTATCCTCAGTTAGCCGAGTCACTGAAGTCGCTCTTGACCAGTGGGGTTACTCTGGTTCGCTCTCCTCTGTCTCTTGGAACTTACCTTATCTCCAAACCTTAGACCTTACTAATAATTTCTTCACTGGTTCAGTACCTGACTCATTCTCAAATCTAACTCGTGTTCAACGACTCACTTTGTCAAGAAACTCGTTATCTGGTTCAATTCCCAGTTCTCTAAGCTCACTTTCAAACCTTGAAGAACTTTACCTTGATAATAATTTCCTTGAGGGAACAATACCCTCAACTTTCAACGGTCTCAAAAATTTAAAAAGGCTCGAATTTCAAGCCAATAAGCTCACTGGCGAGTTTCCCGATTTGGGTCAGTTAAATAATTTGTTTTTCCTCGATGGAAGTGACAATGCTTTCTCCGGCCAACTTCCGGCGACTTTCCCGGCATCTCTCGTCGAGCTTGCAACGAGAAACAACAGCATAGAGGGTAACATTCCGGCTAGTCTCGCCGGACTGAATTTCCTACAAGTTCTCGACCTCAGTCACAATAAATTCAGTGGGTCCGTTCCGGCGAGTCTCTTCACCCACCCCTCTCTTGAACAGCTCACATTATCGTATAACCAATACGGGTCGGTTCAACAACCCGGGAACTTCTTAGAAAATAGTCAGTTGATTGCAGTAGACTTGAGCAACAATGAGATCCGCGGGTTATTACCCGGGTTCTTGGGTTTAATGCCCAGATTATCATCATTATCGCTAGAGAACAACAAGTTGTCTGGTATGATACCCGTCCAATATGCATTAAAAATGGTGGTGCCGGGTCAAGGGGTATCACAGTTTGAGAGACTGTTGTTAGGAGGAAATTACTTATTCGGACCCATACCGGGTCCAATGTTGGAGCTGAAACCGGGTTCAGTAACAGTGAGATTAGGGGACAACTGTTTGTACCGGTGCCCGTTGAGATTATTTTTATGTGAAGGTGGGGAACAGAAATCATTATCGGAGTGTCAGGCTTTTGGTCCCATCATTCCTTGAATAGTGTGACAATCTATTTACTTCGAGGTCCTTAGATTTTTTTTGTACTACACTAAGTTTTTTTTTGGGTTGTATATTGTATAAATAGTTTTTTGGATTTTCCTCCCTGGCTTTTTCTCCGGTACCCTTATCTCTTCACATGGGGTTTTAGGTATGGTCTAGATGGATCTATTGTATTTCTCTGGGCTGTAGCTTATAGAGTGTTCTTATCTTTGTGACAAATAAAGATGTCTTATATTAGAAAAAAATGGTTGTGGAGAATTTATTAGATGACTTGGGACATAATGACAAGTTTTATTTTGTGTCTCATACAACATATACTAGTTGTATGAGAATTTTTTTTGTCTCACAAATTTGTGGAGCCCAATCTTACACTTTTGGGTCCACAAAAATCTGGATCCACAAAACTACGAGACAAAAAAATTACCTCATAAACACAAAATAAAATTTTCCCGACATAATGTATGATGATCTTCAGATGTAAATTAGGTGGAATTAATTTTTACTTTTAGCAATGATTACTGAAAAAGCAAAATCACACTAGACCGAAGCCCATGCTAGAGGGCTACATTATATGGGAGAATGTCTAAAGTAATTAATTTTGGAATTTTAAGTTATCGGTTGTGAAGTATAAATGCAATCACTATAACATGTAGCATAACTACCAATTTCGTTTTGAGAAACATAATATATTTAGCTTGAAACAAGAACGGTAACTAGGATGGACAATAAAGAATTCTCTAGCGTCTATTTGAATCTTTTGAACTTATACTATTTAAAGACGATAGTGAAATTGTTTATGAATCTCTACTTGCGGCTATTGAGACGTGAGACTTGTGCAGCATGGTAGTCTTGGGTTGTATGGATAAGAAAGGACGGCGACTAGATTTCGTTGTCCAAAGGTTGGAGATGACGAAAAGTGACATTCAGTTCACATGTTTGTCATGAACGATGACGTTCCATTGTCCTGAAAATTAGCAAAATGTACGTATCTACAGTTGCATCATATTGTACTAGCTGTAACTTTCCCCCAGCGTAGTTTTTTTTTATTCAAAGGAAAAAGCAGAGTAAAATCAAGGGAAGTGATGCTCTGATTGCATCGGCAAGGAGCAGAAGCTCTACCCCCTGTTTCGCTGTTGACCTCTCCAAAAAATGTCTTTCCATTGCCTGCATTCTTAAATTTTCTACAATATCTATTTAGGTTAGTAGTTAATTAGCCGTCTGTTTAGTGTTTGAGTTAGAAATTGAAGTTGTATACGGGTAAAATCGAGGGCAATGCATGCCCCGATTTTTCGGTGAAGAAGACGGAAGGAGGGCACGAACACACACGATTGAAATCGAGGTTGGAAGCCTTTTGTACCAAGACCCATGAAAGATGAACAATGGGCTCATCGCAGGGCATGATAAAGCCTCGCTCCCTGAATCCAGAACGAGCTCTAGGACCTCGGGAGATATGGCAAACGGTTATGCACGAATAGCAGATGGCCGTGATATCCATACTTAATCGGATATCACGGTGCAGATCTCGCCCAATGTCGGTTATATATCAGTAATTCGCGAGAAAGGGAGATCTCGCCCAATGTCGGTTACATATCTAACCTTCTTTATTATCTTTTAGGGCTGACGAAATCAATATAAATGGTAGACATGGATCTTGGACAACCAACAATAAAAACTGATGGCATGAACATATATAATATGGGATGACCAGACAATCAAGAAACTATATATAAGGTATGAGCTATCACGCTACCATGAAAGACTATACAACAAAAACTAGCCGACAAGGCATACCAAACTATACATGAGTCGACACCTGTCTATGAGCCTCTAAAGGAACATAAGTGCTGCAACATAGCCGGAACAGGGCCCCGACATACCCATAATGTCTATAACAAA